GGATTAATTAGATATGAATTATGAAAGTGTACACTGAACGGTCCATGAGATCTATTTTTCTGCTTTCCTGTGTTTTCGAGACAAGGCGAGTGACCCATCAAACTGTTCGCCTGCTCATCGTCCATCTGACGATATGTCCGGTTTTTATGTAAGTCTCTCATATTCCAAGATATGAGACACAGGGGAAAATGGTTTTTAGAAATGTTATCTGATTCTGTCACCTACACTGAGTTAGGTTTATTAGCTCGGAATCTCTTTCAACTCTTGGGAAAGCTGGCCTTATCGCTTCCGAGGTGTGAAATGGTAAGGGTTCTCCGACAGCTAGGCCCCGTCTCCCTGGGGGGCCTTTATAGCTCCTATGACCCTCCTGTGACATTTTGTAACACACACATACACTGTCACTGTGACACTCAGAGTGAGGGGGGAGGGAGAATGAGGGAATAACATGGCTACTCTTAGCAAAATAGCGGACTGCGTCAGTCTCTGGTGCGCACGTTTGCGACAAGTTACGTATGTAGTGAGTTGTGGGGTGGAGTGTAGTGAGGGGGACTTAAGCAAGTCTGGGTCATGCAGTGAAGGGGATAGGTGAGGTAAGTATGGCCTAAATAAAGAAGGGTACAGTGAGGTTACACTGCACCAAGGAGAGAGTGGTAGCAAGAACCGGACTCTGAATGAGTTTATAAAACTGCCCAGTGGCCCAGGCAGAATCATCATGACAGTAAGCAGTCAGATCATAGCTGATGTACAGCACGCCAGAACCATCCAGGACTAATGATGATGATAGCAGCTTCTCATTTTGTAGCCCAGTGGCCCATGCCAGTAGGCCGCCTTACAGAGTTTATGAATCCAGGCACCCCCCCTTTTAATAGACCAATATGTGGCAACCCTAATGTGCATAAATAAGACACCAATGACAAGGACTCAAACTCTCTTTTTGCACTGTGGCCCTCAAAAGGCTCTTCTTGCTACTGTCAGGAGTGACTTCAGCTTTAGTGGCATGGGCAACATGATGGCTACATTATTTGCACCCTAGTCTTGCAAAGCAAGTGTCTTAGGTTTTATTTGTATACAGACAGTAATCACCTAAAATCCCTATGTTCTAAATGTGTACATTAGATTTTTTCCACTCACTTTGGTTTCCACTCACAGTTCATAAACACTCCTTTTATTTGTTTGATGTTCCTCAAAATTAGTTCTAGACAGCGTATGTCCTATTATAACTGCTCACCACAAGCACAACTACAAGGCTCACAGTGCAAGAAACTGCATGCTTTCAAATTCTCAAAAAAGGTTCATAAAGTGCGCATACATTATATTAAAGTGGTTCTAAAGGCTCAAGGTTTTTTATGTTCATGCATTCTATGCATGAAGGTAAAAACCTTCTTTGTGCAGCAACCCCTTAGCCCCCTATAATGCTCACCTAAGCCCCCTCTAGATCCAGCGATGTGCAGTGGAGTTTTAGCTATCCTTGGATTCCATCTCCTCATTGGCTCCCACTGCTGTCAATCACAGCCAGTGAGCCAATGAGAAGAGAGAGGGAGTGGGGCAGAGCCATGGCTCCTTGTGTGAATCGATACAGGGAGCATCAGATGCCCCCATAGCAAGCTTCTTGTTGTGGGGAAACCCCGACAGGAGGGAGGGGCCAGGAGCGCTGGCGGGGGACCAGAGAAGAGGAGGATCGGGGCTGCTCTGTGCAAAACTATTACACAGAGCAGGTAAGTATAACATGTTTGCTATTTTTAAATAATAAAAAGTTGGCCTTTACAATCACTTTAATGTCTTTAAAATAAATATATTAAACAGGGATGGAAAACATTACATCCACTCTGGAATCAGCAAGCACCAAGGGACTTCTGTCTCAATGCTTGAAAGGTTTTGTTTGTTATTTGTAATTTTTTAAATTATACTTAACACTAGAAAATAATGCAATGCTAAACATTAAGTAGTAAAGAAAGGCAAATTTAAAACAGTTGAAGAAATTTACTGTATACTTCAATAAATATTCGGAACACAAACAGCTACTTCTGATTATCCTAATACACAGCATCTCTGTCAGTGAAGTCCAGGTAGCTCTGGTAATATAGGCAAACAGCAGGAGGCATACAAAGAAAAAAGGCCACTCCAATGGAACTGGAGTACCCTGTAAGCAATTGGGGAAGGGGTCCCCACAGTAATTGGGTCTTTTGGAGAAGCTACGTGCAATTAGGCTCCTGCTGACCTTCAATATCAGCTCCCCCCAGCCCCCCCCCCTTAAATACTTACCTTGTAATTTTTTTAAATTATAGTTAACACTAGAAAATAATGCAATGCTAAACACTAAGTAGTAAAGAAAGGCAAATTTAAAACAGTTGAATGCACTGTATACTTCAATAAAAATTCTGAACACAAACAGCTACTGTATATTTCGCTCCATAAGACTGCAGACATAGTACAGGAGGTGACCAGAGACTGCGGACATAGTACAGGAGGTGCCCAGAGACTGCGGACAGACAGGAGATGACCAGAGACTGCGGATAGTACAGGAGATGACCAGAGACTGCGGACATAGTACAGGAGATGACCAGAGACTGCGGACATAGTACAGGAGATGACCAGAGACTGCGGACATAGTACAGGAGATGACCAGAGACTGCGGACATAGTACAGGAGATGACCAGAGACTGCAGACATAGTACAGGAGATGACCAGAGACTGCGGACATAGTACAGGAGATGACCAGAGACTGCGGACATAGTACAGGAGATGACCAGAGACTGCGGACATAGTACAGGAGATGACCAGAGACTGCGGACATAGTACAGGAGATGACCAGAGACTGCGGACATAGTACAGGAGATGACCAGAGACTGCGGACATAGTACAGGAGATGACCAGAGACTATAGACATAGTATAGGAAATGACCAGAGATTGCGGACACAGTACAGGAGATGACCAGAGACTGCGGACACAGTACAGGAGATGACCAGAGACTGCGGACACAGTACAGGAGATGACCAGAGACTGCGGACACAGTACAGGGAGATGACCAGAGACTGCGGACACAGTACAGGGATGACCAGAGACTGCGGACACAGTACAGGGGATGACCAGAGACTGCGGACACAGTACAGGGGATGACCAGAGACTGCGGACATAGTACAGGAGATGACCAGAGACTGCGGACACAGTACAGGAGATGACCAGAGACTGCGGACATAGTACAGAAGATGACCAGAGCAGCGGATACAGTACAGGATATGACTGCAGACACACTACTGGAGATGACCAGAGACTGCGGACATAGTACAGGAGATGACCAGAGACTGCGGATATACACCAGGAGGTGACAGGAGAGACTGCGGACATAGTACAGGAGACGACCAGAGCTGTGGACACAGTACAGGAGATGACTGCAGACACACTACAGGAGGTGACAAGAGACTGCGGACATAGTACAGGAGATAAACTAAATCTCAGTGTGACCAGTGAAAGAAACTATCAATGCCACTAAACTGCGCTAGATACAAAATTGTAACTAAATAAAATTATGTGTAAATGATATAAATCCCTTGCTGCCACTATACAATCATCAAAAGTAATTAATATAAACCCACAGTGAATTTGTGAAAAAGTGGCACATACACTTCACAGTGCCAAAACTTATTATAAAAAACATAATAAAATTATAAAATAAAAATATCAACATGCTGTCCAAAATTTGTTATATATACTCAAAATATATTCCAGTGAAAAAAAAAAATAAAACTAAAATTGCAGTGATCAAAAAATCAAGTGTTCAAATCAACACCCAATATAGTGAGAAAAACAAATCCAGTGATAAAAAAACAAATCCAGTGATATAAAAATAAAGTTCAGTGATAAAAATGTCCCGTGATGAAAATCATACAGTGTTAAAAAACAAACAGTGGTCACAGTGCACCCCCACTCGGGTGTGCATTCACCAGTATTATAATGTCCTCTGCCTTTGGTATGTAGAATATAGAAGAGGGCTTGAACTGGTAAGTACTGGGAGTTTCTCAAACTCAGCTCATTCAGTAAATAAATGCCAGGGTTACAAAAGTGTCCACTCCATTATTACTACATGCTCCACCATATCATGAAAAGAGAGAAGAACAAGACCCGCTCTAATGGTGTAGTACCCAAGATATATCGCTTTATTGCTACAAGTATTGCACTTGCAATATATAAAATCAAAACAAGCCCATAATGATAGTAATAGTGATCAGCGGGGACCACTTGGTGCTCTCACCACCTCCAAAACTGTCGGATAAGATGCCGTCTCATAACTTCCAGTTACAGACCCGCGTCACTTACGGTTTGCTGCACCGTCATGCTCTGACACGTTTTGTCATTTCCTGACTTACTCATAGGGGTGACGGTGCGGTGCGGTGCGGTACCACTCGAGGACAGTAATTGGAGGACAGTAATTGGAATCACCAGATGATTAATACTTCTTAATTGGTCTACTCACATCTCGCAGGAAGTGATGTAAACTACTGGCAACACACAGGCTCCATGTATAAACTTAAAAAAGGTCAATACACAAAATAATGATAATTATAAAAACAATTATTAATATTATTAATATACCATGTATATTAATGACCAGAGACTGCAGACATAGTACAGGAGATGACCAGAAACTGCGGACATAGTACAGGAGATGACCAGAGACTGCAGTCATAGTACAGGAGATGACCAGAGACTGCAGTCATAGTACAGGAGATGACCAGAGACTGCGAACATAGTACAGGAGATGACCAGAGACTGCGAACACAGTACAGGAGATGACCAGAGACTGCGGACACAGTACAGGAGATGACCAGAGACTGCGGACACAGTACAGGAGATGACCAGAGACTGCGGACACAGTACAGGAGATGACCAGAGACTGCGGACACAGTACAGGAGATGACCAGAGACTGCGGACACAGTACAGGAGATGACCAGAGACTGCGGACACAGTACAGGAGATGACCAGAGACTGCGGACACAGTACAGGAGATGACCAGAGACTGCGGACACAGTACAGGAGATGACCAGAGACTGGGGACACAGTACAGGAGATGACCAGAGACTGCGGACACAGTACAGGAGATGACCAGAGACTGCGGACACAGTACAGGAGATGACCAGAGACTGCGGACACAGTACAGGAGATGACCAGAGACTGCGGACACAGTACAGGAGATGACCAGAGACTGCGGACACAGTACAGGAGATGACCAGAGACTGCGGACACAGTACAGGAGATGACCAGAGACTGCGGACACAGTACAGGAGATGACCAGAGACTGCGGACACAGTACAGGGAGATGACCAGAGACTGCGGACACAGTACAGGAGGTTGACCAGAGACTGCGGACACAGTACAGGGGTTGACCAGAGACTGCGGACACAGTACAGGGGTTGACCAGAGACTGCGGACACAGTACAGGAGAAGCCGCAAGCTGTCACAGCCGGGTGCCCATGCTGGCGTCAGGGAGAGAAGACTGAGGACACCGCTGGACCAAGGAACAGGTAGGACCACTGGAGGTCTGCAGAGAAGGGTCAAATGGCCGGCCTGGTATTCTAACACGGGGGGAAATCCGGGCCGGCCGCCCCAATATATTCGCTCCATAAGACGCACAGACATTTCCCCCCATTTTTTGGGGGGGGGGAAAAGTGTGTCTTATAGAGCGAAAAATACGGTACTTTTGATTATCTTAATACACAGCATCTCTCTCAGTGAAGTCCAGGTAGCTCTGGTAACATAAGTAAATAGCAAGAGGCATCCAAAGACAAAGGGCCACTCCAATGGAACTGGAGTACCCTGAAAGCAATTGGGGAAGGGGTCACTCTGTGCAATACCCTTGCACAGAGTAGGTTAGTATAACATGTTTATTATTTTAATTTTAAAAATAATAAATATTAAAGTTGTAGGTCTGAGTTGTAAAATATATATACTTTATAGTAACTTTATACTATTGTTGATGAGAAGCCAGTGAAGGTAAAAGAGGCATTAGACTTTTCATGGGAAGGATAGATAGCTTGAAGCATTCATGGTTAGGGTAGAGCAAAATTGAGAGATTGTGCTTCTACAAAATATCAGCTAGAAATCAGGACATTTGGGGAAAAAACACAATTTTGGAAAAATTAGGAGCATTAAGGTTTTAGTTGGATTTTAAGGGTGAAATAGGAAACCTGCTAAACTATCCTAGACCAAAATTGTCCATCATTATGAGATCGGAATGTGATGTTAGATATGAAGCAGCATGGATAGACCTGTTATACTTGTAAAGTGTTCCAAATTAATTTGCTTGCAAACTGATGTTACTTCAAGGAATGGAAATTGTCCTTCCAAATATACACTAATTTACTGCGAAATGGAGAAATCATATGTAGGGGCATAGAGGTGGATTTTTGTACAGCCTGTGTGTAGTATCTACACTACCCTTGCTGGCTTCCTAGATGTTTTATTGAGTAATGGACCTCTGCTTTTCATGTCTATTAATTCTTGGAACACCCCCTTCCCTCTTTTTCACAGTTGGTAGAAGAAGGCACTGGCACAGCCAACAGCACTACCCTAAGTAGACCAGGCTCCACAGTTTTTTCATTGGAAATAAAAAGTGTAGACCACTGGCACAGGCACTGACAGGACTTCTAGATGAACAGGTCCTCACTGGTTCTATTAGGATAATGTTTTTACATTGTTTCCACCAGGCTGATAACGGTCACATATCTTTAGATGAATAAGTCCCCAATTAATTTTTTCGATACAGTAGTTTACAGTAGACTCAATGGCAACAGTGCTTCCAAGTCCCTAGTAATGACTCCCACACTACATTACAAATGAAAACCTGCCCTGCGAGCTGTTCAGATCCTGGGGTTACAGCATCCAGGTTCTTCCTCTTTTTTCATTGCCTACAGAAACATTCTCCACATCAATGTCCGCAGAAGCAGCTGGAACTGAGTCCTCCATCATGGAGCTCCCAGTAGACCCTTGAGGTTTCACCCCAGAGCCTGGCTCTACTTCTTTGCACCCCCTTTGCTGCCATGTTGGGTGTCTAGGGCCTCTTCAACATCTTATTGTGTCTCCCTTCTCCTATACTTAGCTGATCCTGCACCAACACAGGTTATAGAATTCTGCTCTAATCTGCTACAGTGGAGTTGTAATGGGATGTAAAATTTTAAGAGAATGCCGGGCACCCATAGGGTAAAGCTTTCATGAGAAATAGTTGCTGTTGTTGTTGAAAAATGCTAGTTGATTGGCTGTTTGTGTTGTCAGCACGTTCTAAGTGTTTGACCTGGATCGGGTATGTAGAAGGAGAAGTCAGAACTAATATACATACTTGTTCTAGGTCATACTTTTATGTAATTGGAGCAACATTACAACCAGGCCTCTAAAAGTTTCAGAAGGAGTTTAGTAATGGTAGCCTAGAGTGCTTTCCTCAGTACGGGTTCCCTTACCATGTCAGGCATGAGCTCTATCTTCATGTTTTTTTCCTAAACAACCACTTTTACATTGCCAAGCTGTGTTGGCACCGCATCACACCAACTTCACTACTGGTAGCATGCATGAGGTGATACCTGGACCCTACACAGGTTGCACAGGTAGTCCAACTCCTCCAGGATGGCACATCAACACGTGCCATTGCCAGAAGGTTTTCTGTGTCTCCCAGCACATTCTCATGAACATAGAGGCAATTCTAGGAGACAGGCAGTTACTCTAGGAGAGCTAGACAGGGCCTTAGAAGGTCCTTAACCCATCAGCAGAACCGGTATCTGCTCCTTTGTGCAAGGAGGAACAGGATGAACACTGCCAGAGCCCTACAAAATGACCTCCAGCAGGTCACTGGTGTGAAAGTCTTCGACCAAACAATCAGAAACAGATTTCATGAGGGTGGCTTAAGGGCCCAATGTCCTCTAGTAGGCCCTGTGCTCTTTTTCCGGCACCATAGAGCTCAATTGGCATTTGCCATTGAACACCAGACTTGGCAGGTCCACCACTGGCACCCTGTGCTTTTCACAGAAGAGAGCAGGATCTCTCTGTGCACATGTGACAGACATGAAAGGGTCTAGAGAAGCCATGGGGAATGTTGTGCTGCCTGTAACATCGTTCAGCATGACCGTTTTGGTGGTGGATCTGTGATGGTCTGGGGAGGCATATTCATGGAGGGACGCACAGACCTCTACAAGCTAGACAATGGCACCCTGACTGCCTTAGGTATTGGGAAGAAATCCTTGGACCCATTGTCAGATCCTACGCTGGTGCAGTGGGTCCTGGGTTCCTCCTGGTGCACGACAATGCCTGGCCTCATGTGGCGAGTGTATGCGGGCAGTTCCTGGAGGATGAAGGAATTTATACCATTGAATGGCTCGCCTGACCTAAATCCAATAGAACACCTCTGGGATATCATGTTTCGGTCCATCTGACGCCACTAGGTTCCACCTCAGACTGCATGGAAGCTCAGTGATGCCCTGGTCTAGATCTGGGACCATTCGTCGTCTCATTAGGAGCATGCCCCGACGTTGTCAGGCATGCATACAAGCACGTGGGGGTAATACAAACTACTGAGTACCATTTTGAGTTTCTGCAATTAAATTTCAGCAATATGGACTAGCCTGCTGCATCATTTTTTCACTTTGATTTTTGATGTGTCTTCGAATTCAGTCCTCTGTAGATTGATAATTTTCATTTCCATCAAACTATGGGGAATCCTTACATTCCTAACACATTACCCAGTCCATATCAGTATAGATATCCAGCATTAGATTTTTACCCATTGAGATCTGACGTGTTTTCAGAGTGTTCTTTAATTTTTTTGAGCAATGTATTTGTGGGATTTACTGGTTTGGACCCCTTTTTCCTTCCAAACTGCCTTAATTCATCGTGGCACAAATTCAACAAGGTGTTGGAAACATTCCTCAGAGAGTTTTGGTCCATATTGACATGATAGCATCCCGCACTTACTGCAGATTTGTCAGCTGCACATCCATGAACCACTGATACAAGGCAGAATGGATCCATGCTTTCATGTTGTTTATGCCAAATTCTGACCCTACCATCTGAATCTCACAGCTGAAATCAAGACCCATCAGACCAGGCAACATTTTTCCTATCATCTATTGTCCAATTTTGGTAAGCCTATGTGAATTGTAGCCTCCGTTTCCTGTTCTTAGCAGACAGGAGTGCACCAGGTGTCTTCTTCTGCTGCTGTAGCCTATCTTCTTCAAGGTTTGATATGTTGTGCGTTCAGAGATGGTATTCTGAATACCTTGGTTGTAACGAGTAGTTTTTGAGTTACTGTTGCCTCTCTCTCATCTAAAACCAGTCTGCCCATTCGCCTCTGATCTCGGACATCAATAAGGCATTTCCATCCACACAACTGCCACTCACTGGATATTTTCTATTTTTCGGACCATTCTATGTAAACCCTAGAGATAATTGTGCATAAAAATCCCAGTAGATCAGCAGTCTTTGAAATACTCAGACCAGCCCGTCTGGTACTAACAACCATGTCACATTCAAAGTCGCGTAAATCCCCTTTTTTTCCCCATTCTGATGCTCCATTTGAACTTCAGCAAGTCGTCTTACCATGTCTAGATTCCTAAATGCATTGAGTTGCTGCCATGTGATTGGCTAAATAGCAATTTGTGTTTACAAGCAATTGAACAGGAGTACCTAATAAAGAGGCCAGTGAGTGTAAGTTAAAGTGGTAGTAAAGTCTGTTAATGTAAAATGCACTGCCAGGCAGGGTTTTTATTACAGAAGAGACCCTAGTGGTCTCTTCTGTTATAAATGTCCCTCCTGCCTGTCAGTGGGTAATGTGACCTGAGCCGCACAGACCACATTTATGGCCCGCACTATGTGTGGCAGTGATGTGACTTCCGCATGCATGCGCGGGAGTGGTGTCATGGTCATCTGTGGCCTGGCCAATCAAGTGGCTGAAGATCTGGAACCTGGAAGAAAGACCAAGCGAAAATTGAAGACGATGGAGACCAGGGAGAGCCATGTCAGCGCAGCGTTGGATGGCTCTCTCTGCAGGTAAGTCTGTCATAATGTACTAGTATGCAGTGCATACTAGTACATTATGACTTTAGCTTGCACAGGGGAACCATTTTTTAAAATGAAGAACACAATTTTCCTACCACTTTAAGTGACACATGGCAGTATGATTGGGATAGCAACTTTGTGTATATTAATTATTGTAGGATAGTGGTGGTGCAGGTTTCCTTTGTTTTGTATTCGCTTCTATCCACCTACCCTCCACGTCCAAAAAAAAATGGAAAAGAAAAATTTTTTTTTTTCCAGACCAAAATGTGATGCATGAGAATTAGCCTGATGTATATGGATGCAAATCCATTTTCATCCATCCAATCGTAGATCTAACACAGGTCCACAAAAGTCCACTGTCAAAATATGGACAGAAACTGAAATGGTCATGAATTCACCAAAGTGATGCTCTGCTCTGATTAAATAGGGGATCTATTCAAGGACTGCAGCTGACAAAGCACATACTGTAGTGTAGTATCCTTTAGAACCTAAAAAACATTCAAATATTGTGCTCACGTGCATGCGTGACACCACGCGTGTGCAAGCAGTGATTTGTGACTTCTTCTCTCCTGTTGTCTAAATTCTTACCAAACCATAAATTA